ATTTAATTTTTAGAATTTTCTTAGAATTTTCTTTAAATAAAATTATGCGATTAAATATGGAATAATGAGATTATAAAATGAAATTAAATATAAATTTGTTAAATTTATTGCAAAGATATTAATTAATAAACAAGGTACCAATTTTGGGCGTTGTGGGGGTACTAATCCTTCCCTACACGTAACCGACTCCCGAACTCATTTTCTGGTAAGCAGACCCTTTTTGTGTTATTTTAATAATATTTTTTTATAAATTTTATTAAAATAAAATAGCAATTTTGGTGACCAATCACACCTCGGTAAATGATTGGTGGCGACTCTACAAATTATGTTTTATCTTATACAAAAAGAAAAACACTTACTTTTTCGAGACGATATTTAGAAAGCAACAACATATGTTTTCGCCGGGCGAAATACCGTCTCAATCCCCAGCAAAGTCGCCAAGCTGTTGAAACGGTCTTTTACCCGAATGGGGAAAGAGGTGGTCCCGCTTCGAAAATGATTTTTAGTGATAAATTTGTGATAAAAACGTGGTTCGCGGGAGTCACCACCAATATTTGATCTAGGTGTGGTTGGTCACAAAAAATGTTATGTTATTTTAATAAAATTTATAAAAATAATATTAAAATAACACAAAAAGGGTCTGCTTACCAGAAAATAAGTTCGGGAGTTGGTTACGTGTGGGGAAGGATTAGCACCCCCATAACGCCCAAAATTGGTACCTTTGTTTATTAATTAATGTTTTTGCAATAATTTAACAAATTTTTATTTAATTTCAATTTATGATCCCATAAAAATAGGAAGGATATTATTTTATACCAACAAATCATTTAAAATACTTTCCTAATCAGTTAAGAAAATATTTTATGACTTATTGTATAAAATAATATAACCCAATTACATATAATAATTTTAATGATTTAATCAAGAAAATATAAAAATTAAGGTTACTATTATAACTACTTAATATGCAAAGTACTATAGTTATAAATAATCCTCTAATAATATGAAAATATTAAAAATATTAAAATTAAGAGAATAAAATACATATTTCAAGAAAACAAATAAAAAATGAAACATTATAATTAATTAAAATAAAAAATGTGGGATTAGTATTTAAATATAGTAAATTTTATGAACAAAAGTTGTGCTCTTATAAATATATTTGAAAGTGGAGTATCCATTATAATGCTCTTATAAAAAAACAAAAATTAAAGTAAAATAATATAATTAATTAAAAAACGTGAAATTAGTATTAAAATATAGCAAATGTTATGAACAAAAGTTAGTGCTCTTCCTTTCCAATTTTTATTATTATTTTTAATAATGGAATTATTTTGTCCTTATTATTTATTATATGTATTTTATTTTAAACACTAGAATATATTATTAAGATACATATGTGACTAAAATAAAAAAAAAGTAAATAAGTACTAGATTTAAAATATTTAAATATAAAAGATAATAATAAAAATAAAATAAAATTACTATTAAATAATAACCAAAATAATAATATAGGATTAAATTAAAAATATATAAATTATTTGTCAATATTCAAAATATTATAAAATATATATATTAAAAGTGTAAATAATCCTAAAATATTATTTAAATATATGTAAATATACGGGTAGTGACTAAAATAAAAATAAATAAAATGTGAAAATAAAATTAAAAGATATAAAAATCTGATTTTGGTGACTATAATAGAAGATTACAAAATACAGAGACCATGGACGTGATTTATCAATCTTGAAATTGCACACACACTCCCTCCCCAAAACGACGTAGTTTTGATAAGTGTATAAATAGGCCAAAAATGGTCATTTTTCCTCATTTTTATGTTTCGCTTCTCTCTCCTTAGAGAGATAAGCTCTCACTTCTCTCTAAATTCTCTCACCTGAGGGAGCTCCGGCCACCGGCCGGTCACTATTCACGTCACTATTCTGGTAACTATTCACTGTCGATCACTATTCACGGTGGCCGGAAAAATAAAATAGCTCAAATCGTATATCAGCTTTCCCTCATCCTAAATCCAAGCTTCTTTTTTCGCTAACTAGTCAATCGGACTAGATCTAAGATTTTCTCTTCGGTAAAATCACTTTTCTAATGAAGTTTGAGCTTCATGAGGTAAGATCTCTTCTCCTTTCTTTTGCTTCCTTTGTTCGTTTCTCTTTGTTGTCTGTTGCTTCTCTCCGTCTTTGCGCTTGTTCTTCCCCTCTATCTCTTCGTTCCTATCTTTCTTTCTTTCTTTCTTGCAGGTTTTCAAGGCTTTTTATAGGCCTCAGGAAGCTTCAAACAACCGTTCATTTTGGTGAGTCACCGGATCTACAACGGTGACTCACCATAGGGCGAGGTGTGCGACTCTCCTGTGGCTTCTGGAGTCTTCTGTCAAGTTGGCAGAGGCGTGGTAGCATCTGGTTGGAGCGCCTGGAGAAGATGAGTAGAAAACCCTAGAAGTATCTGAATCGGGTCTTGGGCCAGGTCTAGATCTGAATCTGGGCCTCCGGTTTTGTAAATGGGCTCCCAATTTATTTTGTAATAATAATAATAATAATAATAATAATAATAATAATAATAATATGATAGTCTCGGACGAAAATGATTGTCAACAACTGCCCCTCTTTGCTTATATTTGTGTTAACAAGAATAGAGCAACGATAAAAAGACAATGAATTTTCGTCTAGTTGACTTCATGTTTTGATGGGAAATCCGTTCCATTCTTCATGGGAGAGATCCAACTGGTGTATGACATTGTGCCTTCGCGATGAGGACGTCTGGCCATCTTTGAAGATATTTGAGATAACACGGTTCCTTCATGATGAGGACGTCTGGTTATCTGAGGATGACTCAGCTCCTACGTGATGAGGAGTTCTGGTCAGTGGATGACATTGTTCCTTCGTGATAAGGACGTCTAGTCATCTTTAAAGATATTTGAGATAACACGGTTCCTTCGTAATGAGGACGTCTGGTTATCTAAAGATGACACGACTCCTACGTGATGAGGAGTTCTGGTCAGTGGATGACATTGTTCCTTCGTGATGAGGACGTCTAGCCATCTTTAAAATTAAGGGATTGAGAAAAAATCATATTCTTTTAATTAAATTCATCGAGAAAATACTGTTAGATCGAATCTATTGTCTCGTCTCGCGATATTTAATTAGTTGAATATCCTTATTCTCATTAAATATTGGTAAAATAAATAATTAATCAATTGGTTGATATGTTTATTTATTTATTTAACTTTGGCATGTGTTTTCAAAGGTTTTTTTTTAAATAATAATGTTCGATCTGAAATAATCAAATATTATTGTTTTCAATCTTAACATTATTTTAGGTATTATTATTTTGAAATTTAGAATGGAATTCCAATATTTCTTTATTTCGATTGGAGTAAGAATCAATTGCTTCAAGGTATGATAGATCGATTCTTCTCGATAGGAAATAATTAAATATTTTTATCTTTCATCCAATATTTCAAAGAACATTATTCTAGGGGATCTTAAATTAAGTTAAACTCGAACTTGTACATTTTATTGCAAAGACAATTAATTAATCGACTAGGTACCGATTTAGGGCGTTGTGGGGGTGCTAATCCTTCCCCACACGTAACCGACTCCCGAACTCAAAATTTGGTAACGCAGATCACAAGTTTGTCGTTTTAATTAAAATTAATATTTTATTTAAATGACAAATATATTTTTAGATGCCCAATCACACCCTAATCAAATATTGGTGGCGACTCCGCGAACCACGTTTTTATCACAAATTTATCACTAAAATCATTTTCGAAACGGGACCACCCCTTTCATGTTTGTCTTCAAGCTTGATATTTGTTCTCGAGCATGGTTTCAGATTCGAATTTGAAATCCAGTACCAATTAAAAATAAAATACATTAGATTGATTATTTTTTTTAAGAAAGAACTTGATTAGGCTTATGAGCTACTCAAGTCAAGATTAGGATACTTGGATGCATCCAGTCCGATAGCTCGAGTAGCTAGAACTCGACAATAACCAAGCCGATTCAAGTTTCTCCCGTGTTCATGTGATCACAAATGTCTTGACTACACCTCTAGGCGTACAAATTGTAGGTGGAAGAGGGCTGGAAAAGTTTGACAACAATTATGCTAATTTGGCATTCGATGTTTATGTTTATGCAGAATGACACGCCCATGTGGGGAGTGGTGAAGCTTGCAGCTCAATTGTGTTCAATGGACGCTTGATCGATCGCCAATGGTTGCATTGCTATTATTTGGCTCTTCCCATGGTTGAAACATTTGTATTTCCAAAACAAATACATTTCATGTCGAATTCATTATTCTTTTCTTTTTTGCTTGAAAAGTGGAAAGTATTAAAGAAAATATGTTTAGTTGAAAACTTTTAAATTTTAGAAAATGAAAATGTTAAAATTATGAAAAAAAAACACGTTGCTTTTCATAAAAAAAAACTATTCTATATAAAACTGGATAGATTGAAAATAATTTTTTTAAACTTTAAATTTAATTGATGAAATGACCCGGATATAAGCACATAAATATTTTTTCTAATAACTTTTTAATATCAAATCTGTTATTTTTTCTTTATTCCACAAGTTTCTAACGTGAGAAAATAGATACAAATACGTTATACAAATTTTTATTTTATTTATCGGACGTGCTTTTATTTTTTAAAATAGAAAATGTAAAGTGTTTTCTAAAATTAAAATTAAAAATAAAAATTAGAAAGAAAAGGGAGGTTAAGCTCGCTTTATGGATATATAAATTTTTATGATTTTTAAATATATTTCTTTTTGAAAATTATGATTTTTTTTAATTATAAGTTCATGTTTTTCTAATATTCAAACATGTAATTTAAAAGTCGAAATCATGTACCAGTTAGGCTCAGTACAAATAAAGATACCAAACACGTAGCTTGTACAAAGCTAATATCTCCGGTGGTGCATCAGATTATCTCTTGTGCTTCCATTTTTATGGAATTTCAAACCTTTTACCGACAGAGCTTTCTTCTTAATTACAAAATATGATTTCAGATTTAGAAGTTATATAATTTTTTAATGCAATCCATCCATGAAAAGAGATTGATAGTAAGAGTTTAAGAACACCAAGTCAATGTAGCCAATTCAGAACACGAGCATTAATTAATGTAGACTCACGGTGCTACCAACTTGACACCATAAACCAGGAAGTTTCTGATAAGGGCATCGAATTACACACTCATCGACATTATCTGACGAGCAAGACCTGGATCTTGTTGCAGCAGCTCCCTCAAGTTGTTCTCCACCTCGGCGAGCTGTTTCTCCATGTACTCCTTTGAGGTCTGTCAAAAACTCGCTCAACAAATTAGGCAACTTTTGATGTGAATGGGTCAGCATTTCATGTACAAACATGATGCTTGCAAACAACTTGAATTAAACTAATACAAACTCAAATTCGACTCGATCATTGCCGAGTGAAATTCAAGTATACTGGAGTAATTCATAAACCTAATCAGTATGCTTAATAGATGGTTAAATTTACATTAGTATTTAAAAATTTCAATTCAAAGTTAAGCTCACATTTGAAGTTGCGTTCAGGAATCTAGCTCATTTTTTACTATGTAAACGGGTTTAATATAGCCTAGTAGAATGAACCTGAACAGCTCAATTTTCATTTTGAATCGAGCTTTAACTTTAAAAATGAAACTTGATCAGCATACTTCAAAATGTGGTTAATTATCTCAAACGAAAGCAGTCAAAATGTTCAGAGTAGCATCAACAACTTCAAAATAAGGAAAAGATGCAAATAAAAGCCAAGGCACGAAAATATTTGCTTACTTTGCCTCTAAGTTGCTTGGACTCGAGCATTCATGCTCAAAACGGATACGCTTAACTTTCTCTAAGCTTTTTCAAGTATTTAGAGGATCCAAGAAGAGTCATAATTTTATATGCATCAGAAACATGCCTAATACAAAGTCGAAGCAACATATCGACTCTTTTATAGCTCTTAAACCAATTACCATGCAATAATAATAAGGGATGGGCAAGGGATGGGGTGGAGCAGGGCGGTTTTTTGGCCACCCCGACCCTGACCCAAAATTTGCTAATATCCGATCCCGCCCCGACCCGCCCCGCCCCGTCCCGATAACTGTTAGCTTTTCTCCGGCCCCGCCCCACCCTGAATATAATAATATTTTTAAAATAGTTAAAGTAAAATAATATATTTATAATTATTTATCATATTTTAAACTGTTAAAATAATATATTTTATAATAATCTATTACATTTTTAACAATTTAAAACCTATTTTAACACTACAAAAATAAAAACCTTTAAGATCTTAAATATATTTTATATATATAAGGGTTTATACCAGGTCAGGTCGGTGATTTTTTACCTTAAACCTGTCCCCGCTCTGTCCCGAACCTATCTATCATATAACCTGTCGCGCCCAGACCTGAATTCTGAAATTTCAAAAAAAAAAACCCAACCCTATAGGATCAGGTCGGGACCCGTCGGGTTCGAGTATTTTGACCATCCCTAATAATAATGCCCCATCCAAAACTAACATTATTGTTATTTTTTTTTGATAGAATATTAGGCCTCATTAAAAAACCCCTTCATATCCTACATATTGTTATATCCATTGGAAGAAAGTTTGTCAGCTTGTCCAAAACCAAACTTGATCTGGCCATTGATCAATGGTTCACAAGTAATTATCTACAAATTTTCATACTGAAATTTGGTTATAACAATATATTCAAACAAAAAATTGGACTTATGTTATTCTTTGTTTCTTACTGTTTTGTAAAACTTGAGCACAAACAAGAGAGTACTTTCCACAACTTGTAAAGTTCTTATAACAAATTAATCCTACAAATTTGATTAAGAATAAAGAAAAGCCACAACAGATCACGGGCTCATGGCAATATAAACCATAAAATCACAACAAATCTCAAAATAGTTCAACATAAGGTAGTTATGACATGATAAAACATGACCAAAACATGGCGGTGATATATTCAATACAATGTTATATTGCTAGAACTGTTATATTGCTAGAACTTTTGGTATGTGTACTTGATTGTGGGTGCATATATATATATATGATACTAAAAAGTCAAAGTGGTCCAGGTCCGATTTATTTTACAACAAATGCAAAATTTTCCTTTCTTTTAAGATTTCCTTATGATCTCTTGTCTGTTTTTGAATACTCAAATACAAAGTGGAAAGTTTGATATTATTCACTTTCTTGCCAGCAAAGATGGAATTAATAATTAAAAAAAAGGCTAGAAGCTTCTGACAAGCACCTAATCAAAATGTGCCCTAAGAAAAGGTCTAAGACGCTTTTCTTATTCAACATTAACACACAACAGCTTGTCACTTGACTTAAGATCACCTATTGAAAAGGGAGTAAATATATCCTTTTAGCAGGCTTTTGTGATATCGATAAATAACTATCCAACAGAAGGGCTAGTTAAACCAGTTACAGACAAGAGAAAAGTAACAGTTAAAAAAAGGGGGAGAAAATGAACAGAAACAAATGATGCAAACTAAAAGTTATACATGACATAGAAAATTACCTGTAATGAACCAATTGCAGACTCACTATCTTTCAACTTCTGTTCTTGTTCATTCATTAAAACTGCCTTAGGCTCTAAAACAAACCTGGACAGAGGATAAAAAGAGAGGCAAATAAAAAATTTCTGTCAGTCCATGTCATGTATTCTTTCTCATAGTCCGTGAATCATTATAACCATTTAATTAGGTCAACAGCAACTCACGTTCTCCCTGCAAAAAATAAACAAACAGGTTATAGCTCTGCAGATCTGGCACAATCAATCTTAATACAGGTAAAAATTAGGGCTGAGCAGAAAACTGATTCAAACTGCAGTATTAGGTCTCGGTTTCTATTAATTCAGTCCAGTTTTAGTTTGTGTAACAGTGAATACTTTAGTTAGATTAAGTTTTCAGTTCAGAAATCAAAAGTTAAAAGACTGAAATGGTTCAAAACAAATTGAATTCAAATTTTTATTTACATTCTAATTAACTTTTAAAAAAATTAAGATATAAAAATAAAGATGCTCGATCTAGATTAGTAGATTTTAATAATAACAAGCCAATGAACCAAACCAAACTACTCCGGTGCAATAGAATTCAATTCGGTCCAATCATCTATAGCATTCGGTTTGGTTTTGAAAAGCCAGAATACTGCACATTATCCATGATTTTTTCCCAAAACTGAACCAGACTGTTATGACCCCTAGATTAAATAGCAGCTCATAAGTCAAAACATATGAAACACCCTAACCAGAATGCCAGGCTGTGAAACTAAAGAGAAGTCTGAACCCAGCATCCTGATTATCCAATGTGAATAAGAGAACACAACACTAGCTTCCTATTCTAATGCAAAAACACAGTTTTAGTAACGTACCTATGGATTTGTATGTATTTGTATCATCAGGCACCTGACTCAACTCCTCCAATGTTAAGAAAGCACGCTTCTTTTCACCTTCCTTGGTTCGCATCTGGTTTTGCACCTAGAAGTCATAGGATTTGCTCACCTCAGTCTCGGACGCTAAAGATACCTCTCACAAGTCTCCAGTTTGGAAATTTAGTTGGGTACAAAACTCACATCAATTATACAACAGCCGCTCTTGAAAATAAAACATTTTTTATTTTCTGGGATTATTTAAAAAAGGGTCCAGCTTTGTTGCTTCTACTCTTCATTTTTCTATAGGTATCCTTATTTTTTCTTGGTATCCTTGTCCGATAAATACCTGAATATATTTATAGGGATATGACCTTCCATATACATGGAGACTTGGAAAAAGTTGAAAAATACCAGTGTTAGACACATACATACATGTGTTTAACACTCACATCCAAGTTTAGAGTAACATAGGCGTTGAGCATCACACACATGTGCTAGATTAAACATGCACTCAACAGATCTTGTGTCTTCAAATATCCTAATGCTTAACTCGAAGTACTTGCAGGCCTAATCAAGTTTTTTCCCTATAAGTATGAGAAATTTCAATTCAAACTCTAACATAAATAATCAAGTTTGAAGTCAAGGATGATAGACAAGTCCATCTTTTTACTAAGTAATTGAGCCTAAGCATACGAAAGCAAGTAGCTCAATTTTTATCTTTGAATCAAGCTCGAGTTCTAAAAAGGAAACTCAATTGACTTGAATCAGCTTTCGAAACTCGAATTTCAAGTTAAGCGCAACCTTGTTGCAGTTTAAGCTCGCTAAATTACTCCCCCAATCTTCAACAACACCTACCCCAGCCAAAAAAACTTCAAATACGAACCTATACTTCCAACTCTGATTGCAATCATTCTAGGTTCAAGATCAAAAAGGCATCCTGTTTGCTACGTAACCAACGATTATGCTTCATTAAATAAAACTTTGAGCAATTTTTTACTTTTACCCCTAAAAAGTAGGAAGTATCAAGTTAGTTCTGCAGTACACGAGCTATATATAATTAGAGAGATAGAGAGAAAACAAGTCCCTGTTTCAATCCATTTCTACTAATTCGGTAATTCCTCCGTTCAATAATAATGAATAAAATCTTCGGCCAAGGAAAAATTTATTGGATACATAAACAATCACGACAGAGTCGTATTACTAACAATGTTACTCATATTCTGATGTGAAAGTCAGAAATGTATTTGCGGTACGAATATAAGCCGGCTTAAGCAATTTAAGAAAAAAAATGAGAAGTTCGAGTAACCTATAAACTACTAATCTGAAAAAATAATAATGACCTGTTTTAATTTTCCCTTGAGCTCAACCATTCGACCTTGAATCTCTATAAACGCCTGTTATCCAACACATACCATTAAAATTTCTGAGATCTCCCCTCACTTCTTTTCAACTTTTCCGGTAATCAAATCAAATAACGAATTGTTTAAAGAAAACAAGCCAAGAGAAAGATTCATTCTTACAGTTTTGTTAATTTCTTCGGTCATATCTGAAGATTCAAGCAGAAGAAATCAGCCCTAAAAGCATCAGTTCTGACCTTTATTTGAACACTAAAATCAAAACTATAAAAAATGGAAAAATAAAATGAAATTAAAGGGTAAATGGCCATTCCTACCTGGATGAAGGAACTTGGCTTCTATTTGGACCTTTCCAGCTTAGGGTCGGGTTGTCAGAAAATTAGAAATCGGATTGTTTGAACGAGACGAGACGATAGAGTCAGATAGACAAAGAAACAGATTGCCGCCGCCTTAAAGACACCGTATGGTTTTGTGAGATTTGGATTTTATATCACTTTTGATCCAACGGCCAATATTGTCTTTTATGTACCCATGGCTCATAGTGGTTGCCATGATAATGGAACTTTTTGAAAAACTTGTTAATTTTAAGTTCAGTTTTAGTCATTAAACATTAAATCTTTATCGATTTTATTATTGAATTTTAAGTTTAATTTGATTATTATATCATTAAATCGTTAATTGTGTGATGATGTGTTTGTTTTTTTTCCTTTTTTATGTGTAAAATTATTTATTCTTCTATATTTATTATCGTTGACATTCACGATAATATTAATATCATAATATTCACATTTTACTCATTTTTAATTCTCAATTTTATTTTCTTGAAAATCATTCAAAATTAAAAAAAAATCATCTAAATGATTGATTTTCTAATATTTAAATTTTCTTTAACAATCATCCAACTGATTTCAAGGTATATTATTTACCTTCTCTAAAAAAAATGCTTTGTTGGAGTCTTATGCCTTAAATGAAACAACTCATGTAATTACTGAATTTATTTTTAACTAAAATAAAATAAATAAGATTTTATATGTTATGTGTACTGATTTATCATGCGCATTGTCCTCAAGTTTGATATTACATATAAAATAACAAAGTGAAGTAAATATCAAATCATTGATTATCGCGGTTTAACTAAATATAAATAATATTATAATATTAATTATAATATAGAAGATGACTCATATTAGTTGATAATATAAATATGTTTTCATGAATAAATAATTCAAAAGGATTATTACTCTTTTTCTTAAATTTAAATGAGAAGAAAAATTATCCCACCTATCGAAACATGGCGACTCCCGAATATAGATGTAGATATGTTGGTCTAGAACTGACATTACATTATATTAAACCTAAGATATTAAAATTTTAAACATTAATTTCGCTTGTTACATTCAAAATATACTTATTTTAATCTTCAGTAAATCATGTTTATGTGTTTGCATGCGTAGAGAGATGTACGCAAGATTTTATGTTAAGTGGGATAAACTTGAATTTTTAAAATTTCGGGGCGAACTTGAATTTATAAATTTTTATGGGACGAAAATAAATTTTTAATAAAAAATACATAGGAAAAAATCTAAAATATAAGGTAATTTTAAATTTTCGCCCACATCCATGCTTGCATAGTTTAGATAAACGGGGATTGGTTTAAGTGATAAACAATTTGTTATCGTTTAAGTATGTCTTGAGTTCGAACTTTTGTGTACATAGAAAATCTTTGTTGGGAGACTCACCCACAAAAATTAGATGGGTGACCCAAAATTTAATAAATTAAAAATCACATATTGGGTGTATAACTCATATATAATGTAAACACGCCCATAAATATAGAGTTATAGCTCAAGTTGACTTAATTCTATATACACCTTATTTGATTCGTTTAATTTTATTTTTATTTCATAAGTTATTTATTTGGAATAGATAATTTTTGTTGGTGTAAGATCCTAAAAAATATTATTTTTATTATTTGTGTTTTCTTGAGTTTATTCTCAATTTATTAATTTTTTATGAATTTTTTCCATTATAATATTTTTTGCAAGTCAATATATCATTTCATTCGAAATTTTTTAAAATTTTTATTACAGCAATAGGTAGTCACTTTTATAACAATCAAAATCATGATATGAGTTAAAAATCATATCTTAATCAATTAAGTTTAATTTATTTTTGGGTAAAGTACACAAATGATCCTTTAATTATAGGGTATTGTTATATTGAATCATCCAACTATTAAAAGTTATAAAATGATCCATTAATTATAGAATGTTGCTTTGTTGAGTCCCTTGATTATTAAAAGTTACAAAATGATCACCTGACTATTTATGTAACACTCCTATCCCGTATACGACCCCGTATACAAGGTAGAAGTGTCACATCAATTGTATAAAACATATATTATTTTAAAATCAGTAAAATTTTTTGTATCTTTTAAAATCGACATTATAGTAAGTTGAAGAAAGAGATTATTTCCGAGGTGTATTTTAGTCTGTTGACTATGCATCCAGGTGGGAATAAGATGTATCAGGGCTTGAAGAGTCGATATTAGTGGTCTGGTATGAAAATGGCTATTACGGAGTTTGTTGCAAAGTGTCTGACATGTCAACAAGTGAAAGCTGAGCATTAGGTGACATCTAGATTACTACAGCCGATTTCTATTCCGCAGTGGAAATGGGAAAGAGTTACGATACATTTCATAACAGGACTACCATTGACACCGAGTAAAAATGACTAAATTTGGGTGATAGTTGATAGACTGGCCAAGACAACACATTTCATTCATGTTCGGATTGACTACTCGATGGACATGTATGCAAAGCTATACATCAGAAAGATAGTTCGATTACATGGAATGCCAGTTTCGATTGTATCAGATAGAGATCTAAGGTTCACTTCGAGCTTTTGGAATTCTCTATATGAAACTTTGGGTACTCGACTGAATTTCAGCACAACCTTTCATCCACAGACAGATGGTCAGTCTGAACGAACTATCTAAGTGCCGGAAGATATGCTAAGGGCATGTGTAATTGAGTTTAAAGGATCGTGGGAGAAATACTTACCTTTAACGGAATTTGCTTACAATAAAAGTTATCAAGCAAGTATCAAGATGGCATCCTATGGAGCTTTATATGAAAGAAAGTGCATAACGTCATTGAATTGGTTTTGATTTGAATTAGATTAGAATGGATTTGAAATGTTGTGCTGGAAGAATACGATAGAGGAAAATATAAATTGGATTGTAAGTGTAAATTGGATTAATGAATGGTTATAGTTTCAATTTTATCAATGTACGGCGCAATATGGGTTTATTGAAATGGTTGGCATAGTGTTTTCAAATTCAAAATGATGATTAGATCATTGGTGTTTCCAAGGGTGTTCATTATTAGTGACCGACGGAGCACGTGAGATTGTAATGATGTGTTACCATTGCTTGGCTATGTAATTTCAACCTAAAGTCTTGTTACCCAAAAATTTCTCATTTCCTTAAGTCCATGATAATCTCTTATGGATTTGATATTTTTCTAATGATCCTATAAATATAAACATTCAGCTACTGGGATTAGAGATGATAAACTTTACAGTCATGTGTTGAAATGGAATATGAAGAGAGATGATGGCTTGTGACTATTGATTTCGTGGGAAATAAGTTGTACTGGATTTCGAATCTGACAAAGCTATTTATAGCCTTGCAGTTGGCTATTTGTCACAGAAAAATATTATTTACCAATTTACATGTGTATCATCTCTTTCTAGCAATTTTTGCTATATTACTAGAATGTCATTTGAATGTTGAGATACGAGAATAGAACTAGAATTGCTAAGGTTTTGTAAGTGCTTAAGTTGGGTTTGATGTTACAAAAATTACTGATTTTCAAACAATATATATTTTATACAATTGATGTGATACTTTTACATTGTATATGGGGGTTATATAAGGGATAGGGGTGTTACAATTTATATGTTTCAAACCAGTCTTTTTTGTTAAAAATGATAACTGTCTGAGTTGAACGTTAACTTATTAACTAAGATATGATAATTGCTTGAGATTTTGATATTAGATTTTATCTTATCATGTCAGCAGGTTAACGTCCAACTCATATTACTGACAATTTTTAATAAAAATGATGAATTTAAAAATGGGAAAATTACACGCTTACTCACTGAATTTTATTCTTTCTCCTATTTCACTCACTATACTTTCAGTTTTTTTTTTAATTTTCTTACTGAACTTTAGACATTAAACTTTTTTGTTTACTCGACTCTTAAATTTCTAACTGCGTTAAATTAAAATTGAAAAAAATTAAAAGTACAATGAGTGAAATAGGAGATAGGACAAATTGTAGTGAGTAAACGTTTGACATGTTTTATTATTAAAATAAGCCACATAAGCACCCTGTTGAAAACTTTTGATGCTTAGATATAACAAATTAAGTATAAATGAATTTTAAGATTTTACAAATCATTTTTGAAAATATATTTGATTCAATTATTCGAATATCAAAATATTACTCCAAGTTTTTCAAAGTTCAATTTCAATCCTTACTAAAGTATAAAATTGTGTTTTATACTTAAAATATTTTTGAAACAATCTTCACAAAGTATTTCGAACAAAAAACGAGCCAAAAATCAATTTTACAAAGTGATGTACCGATGCACTATATGATGCATCGATGCATACTTATTTCGAATGCATTTTGTGTACCGATGCACAAGACATGCATCGATGCACTCTTGAATATTTTGAAACATTGAATTGATTTTGTGTACCGATGCACATACCATGCATCGATGCACTCCTGGCTATTTTGAAACATCAAATGCAATTAATGCATCAATGCACCCCTAGTGTATCGATGCACTAAGTCTTATAACGGTCGAAATATTTGAATTTTACACATAGTGTACCGATGCACCTTGTGTATGCATCGATGTACACACGCTCCCAACTGTTTTATTAATTGATAATTACACTATAACGGCTCTATTGACTTCACCAATGATCCCCAACGTTCAAAAGTGATCAAGGTGTATTTAAACAAGCTTAGGAACTATTGATCAATAACAAGAAAAAACAATTGAGAGAGAATCAAGGAGAAAGCTTTAAACATCAAGTTTGAGCTATTCAAGCTTATTTTTCATTCAATATTCATTTTTCTTTCAAGAACACCATTTGTACTCAATTGTATTCATTCTTGAGTGTACTTTCTTTGTTCTAGAATTCTGCAAACAATTTACCTTGTGAGGTTTTTCTGTAAGTTTGCGAAATTTGTATCGTTCTCTTTGGGAGAGAGTGTTCTTAAGAATTTGGGGTATAATTCTTGAGGGATTTGTAAGGTTACTCTTTGTCCTCAAAAGAAAGACAAATTATTGAATTTGTGGAAAATCCTTAGTGTGGATAGCTAAGGTAGTGGACGTAGACTTTGGTTGAGAAAGTCGAACCACT